TTCTGATATCGGCGTTAAATTCCAAAAAATCACATTCACTATGTGCGGAATTCTATATTACGTTTAGCTAACCTACAATTGAAATGTTCAAAGTACAATTTTTTGATAAGTGACCCTAAAATGTGATTAAGAACGTTTTATACAGACATTTTTCCTATTATGAATTTATGTTAAACGTGCTAAGTAAAACCATTAAATACTATTACTTTCTAGTGTTAATAATATCACAAGTTAATTCTAAAAAGTTTGATTATAATATTCCGTTATAATTTGAGTGTTTATTAATCTAGATTAATTGAAAAAGTTGTAGTTTTTCTATACTTATAGCTGTATTATGTTCTGAAGTAACGTTTCATCATTACCAATTTAAAATAGAGATAGAAATATCTATTTTCTTGCCTAGTTATCTATTAGAATGAAATCAAATGGTCTCGAATGTATAGGCTTGGATACTAAATCTATAAGTTTTGAATTTTGTTTTGTAAGAGCATTTAAAATAACTAAAGTTAAAATTTAAACCAATATTTATTATTTTAACCTTAATTTAATTTTTTCAAATTTTATCAATTTTAATGACAATTGACCTACGACACACGATTTTAAAATATTACACTTCAGTTGAATTAAAATATATGAATATATCATGTATATAACATGTGACCGTGTTCTGTTTAACTTCATTAATGTTTAATTTCTTGGTTCTATTTAATTTTATTTATAAATGTATACGTAATCTTACCAAACAAAAAGGAATAACACAAAGATCTATTCAACGACATATACTATACTATATTTATTATTAAATTCAACTTCATTATTTTAATTATAAAAATGTTTAAAAAATATCACATTAATTTATTACTCGATTTAAACATAATAAAATTACAAACTCAGAAAAAATGTAGTATCCTTCAGTGCTAATAATTTTAAAAATGGTACCTACTTAAATTTCAATTAGATTCTTATTTTTGTAAGTATAAACTATTTTTTCAAGTTTCAAAATAATTGTGCTCAATTTTTAACTGCAGATATAAACCTGAATTGTTGTGAGGCAAATGAAAAAAATAACTTGAGATTATAATAGGTGATTTTCGAAGTAAAAACTTCAATGTATTTATCGATTCCTCCATTTTATGTCATGGATTGCTTATTCGATATTCGTCCCTTTAGTCAAGGAACTCTTAGTCTTTTGTGATTAAGTTACCCTTATCAGCAGATGAGTATCATGACATTTTGATAATAGATTTTTTTAAAAATGAAATATTAATCAATTAAATTTATATTTAAGTGCTATTATACAGGCAACATTTTCAGTTATTCTAATCTCTAAATAGTTGTAACTGTAATTTATTATGGTTATTACCGTAGGGCGAAGAATGACCATTTTATTTAAACTTACATAGAACTTCGTTATCGTAAGTATCGATGCGACAACATCCGATATTTTAATTTTCTATGTTTAACATGTGATATTTTTATAAACAGTTTATAAATTAATCTAGGAATAAATTTAATTTTAACTAAATGTGATAGGTAACTAGTAATACATTGTTGAGAAGTTATTAAAAATGTAATTTATTGTATCAATGCATTTAAATGACCTTGATTGATTGAGGTTTGGAAATGTATGTATAACATGTATCCAACATTTTGCATATTTGGTCTATATTTTTTTACCACACTCAAATATTATTGTGATGGTTGAGGGGTCTCCGAATTAATTTGCCTCTGGCCCTAAGAATCCTTTGGATAACTCTGTTTATATATATACAAATATTACAATGAAATTTGTGTAGGTACTTAGAATTTCATTACACAGAATGTACCTAATAATCAGTGATGCGTGTGCCACTATAGTTTCTTTATGGCAATCTGTATTCATTTTGTATGACGAACTCACTCCTTACCGATTATGGTCATCATGTAAACATTTCCCCCGTTACGTGACATATTTGTTAATTATTTGTTTTTTAGTTTTTAACTACCTTGTGAATAATTAAATCCTCTAAAGCAGTGATTCTCAACCTTGGGGGTGCGCCTTAGGAAGACATGATAAAATGTCAAGGGAGGCGTGAACATTTTTAAAAAACAATGAAATATGAAAACGTTATTTTTGATTATTTATATTTAATCGTGACGTAATAGTCACAATTAATTGGAACTAAGCAGTGCCAACCCTCTCATTAATTTTTATCTGCTTAATAATAATACATTTAAAATTCAAGAAAGTGAATATAATTTAATATAACTTGTTTCAATATTTTTAAATAATAATAATATTTATTTATCCAATAACCAACAATTAAGGCATGATTTAGATTGTCAAAAATTATACCAAATCTATAGAATTGATATACAAGCAGGAAATCGACTGCTTGTAAAAGTGGAAATTTTAAATACTGAGGCAGCTCAATTAATCTAGGTGGCTTTATCATTAAAATAAAATCCGTACAGTTAAAGTCAGCTTTCATGAACAAAAAAAAAAAAAAAAAATGTATGCTTCAATAGTATGAATATTCGGGTGAGGAAACGCTTCATAAACTATATGTATGGAATATGACGCTATACGGCTGCAAAACCTAGATACTGAATAAGGCACAACACCGAGACCTCAAAAGCTTTTAAATGTACTATTGTAGAAGAATGCTACGAGTGAGTTGGATAGAACTAAGGAAAGCAAAATTAGTGATATAAATTAACGCAGAGATATAATAAACTCAAAACCATCAAAGAACGATGGAACATATTAGTCACATATTGAGGCATAAAAACGAACTATTTTATAGAATAATTGAAGGGAAAATTGGAGGTAAGAGTCACTTATTCGAGGACGTCTAAGAAATTAATTTATCGAGCAAATGATCTCCGATGCTCGACTGTCAAGCTAAATGGAACTTTTCCGAGCGCGTATCCTACTGCGAAACCAACCATAAGATTGAATACAAGAAGAGAAGAGATACATATATTTATATTAAACATAATTCAATATTATTATAATAAGGGGGCGTGATAGTATAAGGTAGTATGAAAGAGAGCATTTTTTTTAAAGGGGTGAGAACCCTTGCCTTATAGGTTCTTCATCTAATGATTTAAAATACCATAGTCAGAAATTATTAATATTTATGAACAGTGGCATGTTTAGAATACCGTTTGGGGAGGGGGAGTTTTGAACATTTTACACTTAATTATAATTTTGTAAACAATATAAAAAATAGCCAATCTTTAGATGAAAGGTGAAGGCCAAGCCTCAAAACACCTTCTTCGTCGATATGCCTATGTATGTAAACTAAGGGAACATATTTTTTCGCGCTCACATAATTAGAATTATATTCAAGATATATAATTTATTTTGCCTATAATTTTACTTTTTTTGTGTTTGATAACTAGACTATAAACTATGTTATACCATGATATTTGTTTTTGATCTATTAATTATTTACGAAAAAAAAATGGTTAGACCATGGTTAAACAACTTTATTTCATCTTGTATAATATTTAAAGGGGTAATAAAAAACAAACATTATTAAAAAATGATTTCTCATCTATTTTTTTTTTTTTATCATCACTTAATTGTATCAAGTGTAAAAGCAATTCTTAGGAAATAATTGTTCTCGCGAACTATCGGTATTCAGACGCAGACACAAGGAGGGCCATGGGAGCGATGCCCCCCCCCCCCAATGTCACGAAACAAACCGAAAAATATTTATAATATTATATGTCAACAATGTTCGACTTAGCCAAATTAAAGAACTCTATTTACTTTAAAAAGATAATATCCCCAAAACTTGTTAAGCATTATAATTATTTATAACCTAATAGTAGGTGTATGCTAACATTACTAAAAATTAGTTGGGGTACTCCGTCCCCCCTCATGTCTAGAACTGTATGTCAAGCAATAATAAAAATTATATTTTTTCTATAGAAACTATATATTGATATGTTTTCAAAAACTAAATTAAAATATATGTCGCTCTATAATTTTTAATTTAATTTCATATTTAAAAAATTTTAGTTGAAAGTTTATTCTTTTACAGTGTTAAGAAATATTTATGGTAAATAATAATACTCATAATTAGGGCTCGTAAGTTCATACACTAACAAACGCATAAATAAGCATATATTGCATGTAATAACATTTATTGTAACATTTGATAAAATATGCGTTCAATTATGCACTAAAAAATTAAAAAATGTAAAAGCATTTTTTTTTTTTTTTTTATTATAAAAATTATTCTTTCATATTTTTAAAATCACAAATTTTAATTAATAAATACACATTGCGATGAAAATACATTGATAGATTGCAATGCACTCGTTAATAGGAGGAGGGTGGTAGCGGTGCACAATAACATTCTTTGGTTCAATGGTATTACTTATAAAACCCAATGTCATATAAAAATAAAAATACTTATAAAATATTAAGATTTTATAAACATGTTCGGAAAAATAAATAGGAATGAATTCAAGCATTTATTGATCTAATTATTTTTTAACTTCTACGAAAAACAATATTGCTGAATTAACATAAAATAATATGTACCAATAACTCAAAAAAAAAAAAATCAACTATATGCCAAATAAGCTAATACAGACAAAACATGCTCTAATGAACTTTAGATTTTTATTACTACTGTTATGAAACGAATTTGTATCTCACTTAGCATGTCCGATGTTACAAAAAAAAAATGAACTTATGAGCCCTGCTTCAATATTATAGAATTATTGAATTTTATTTATTATATTATGTGCACAATATTAAATGTCCCCCTACCCTAATAATTACTCTGGATCTGCGCCTGTCGGTACTTAACTATATTTTGTGTAGTTATAAATGTATAATATATTACTGCATTGCATGATTTTTCGAAAAATTTACATCAATAAGTGGATTAACTGACGTTAAAAATAAAACTGTATGACCATTTTCGATATAAAATCATATTTTTTTATCATTTGTCGACCTTCTGTAACAATGTTTTTTTTTTTTTTTTTGTTATTAGGTACTGGTGAATCGGGGAAATCCACATTTATCAAACAAATGCGGATTATCCATGGTTCTGGTTATTCCGACGAAGACAAAAGAGGGTTCATCAAACTAGTATACCAAAATATATTCATGGCCATGCAGAGTATGATCAGGGCCATGGATATGCTCAAAATACATTACTCTGATCCAACATGTTCTGTAAGTATTTGATATTATTTGATCAATTTTGAATCTGAGATAATTGAAAATTTTTGCTTGATTTTCTCTTAAAAATGAACCTTAAAGTGAAATTATTTATTAAATAATTGTTATTTTCCTATAAAATATTTCAATACTATCCTTTTTTATGTATTGAACTTTACTTAAGTTTGATGAAGATTAAATAATTTTAATTCAAATAAATGATTTAACAAATTACAGTATATTTAAATTTATTACCTTAAATTATAATCAACCTAATCAAGTGTTTTAATTTTATATTTTCTTATTGTGATTTCAATTCTTATCACTTATCTATAAAAAAGATATATTTTTTTATAATTTCTCTATTGTATTATTCACTTAACTTATATAATAAAAGTGTATGATTTGATATTGTACATTATGCACTATGAATTTTTACTCGGAAACCCAATCATTACAAATGATCATATTTTACTGTGATCTTAAAGAGTTCTATAAAGTATATCATAATTGTTTGCACCAGCCCTATAATAGTATAATTTTAACTGATAATATTGCTTAATCAATATCATTCAGAACAATATTGGGATTAAATATTCTCCTATCGTATATTTTTCTATAATTTTACTACCAATTAATATTTTAAATATTTTATTTATTATTTGTTTATATACAATATACCATAGCTTAAAATTATTATAATTTGTAGCCTTATATAATATCTCTAATTTACTATTTTTATGTTTGTTGGATTATTTGAAAAAATTATACTTAAAAAATTAAAGTAAAATACTTCAATTGTAAATATTATTAATATATATATTTAAAGCCAAGTACACACAGTAATGCAGTTTTGGGACAGAAGTTGCATATCAGTTTAATGTGCAAATGTTTTGTGACCTAAGTAGCATATAATTGTGGTGTCTGCACACAAGGTGATTAAAATTTGTCGTATGAAATAATTTTCCGTGGTCGTAGTTGCATTGCAATTATAAGTTACACCGAATCGTATTTGTACATGTTTATAACTGCACTGCTCAAATAAATTGATACCAACTGATCCAAAATCAGTCATATATCTAGACAAACAGAAGTTTTGAACTATTTGCAAACTGGTTGTAAAGATCAATTGATTTACAAACATTGTCCCAAAACAGTTGCATCATATAAGCTTGGCCTAAGAGTATGTTTATTTTAACTTAAAATGTTAATTGTTATAATTATATTTTAAAGGAACGTGCGGAGCTCATTAAAAGTGTAGATTTTGAAACCGTCACAACTTTTGAAAGTCCATACGTAGAAGCGATCAAAGCACTCTGGGGAGACGCTGGCATTCAAGAATGTTACGATCGTAGGCGGGAATACCAGCTCACAGATTCTGCTAAATAGTAATTATAATTTTTCTAATTTTGTAATAATGTATGGTATTATATGTTATATTTTAATATTTTAAAAGAAATACCTTTTTTGTGAATTTAGATATTGGTTTATTAATTATTAACTGATTACTTGTCAGTAGATTCATTAATTGAATATAACTTTAACTCTAAGTCAATTATCTATCTTTAAATCGTTATTACATTTATAACATATAAATGATGTATCTACTTTTTTCAAATTCATGTTATACAAATAATCTATAAGTATCATAATACAAAACAATGGTAATGTTTTTATATTATTGGTTTGAGTGTTTATATATTTTGGTATTAAAATAATCTTAATATCTTAATGCTCGTTTACAGTTATTTAATGGAAATAGACAGAGTGGCCAGTCCAAGTTATCTACCCACAGAACAAGATATACTTAGAGTAAGGGTACCCACGACGGGCATTATTGAATATCCGTTTGATCTAGAAGAAATTCGGTTTAGGTAAAATAAAAACTTGATATTAAACACAATTAAAATATATCAGTTTTTTGCATGCGCATGTGTTTCATAAATATATATTACTTTTTTTACATATTATTGACCATTTATTTTTAAAATGCATGTATGTTATTGTTTAAGGCTATTATACTAATAAAATACTCACATTTTGCTATATATTCCTTCAAAAATTTCTATAAAATAAATATAATAGTAACATGAACTTCATACAATAGTGATCACTGAAAAGCTAAAATATGTATGTTGACTAGAGGATATAATAGGGTGACAGCATTACGATTAAAAAATTAACTATACTACCCAATAATAAAAATCGATGAATGTGTGAAACAAATTACGTAACTACTTTTTTTTGTCTACTAATACCAAATCATAAAATTAATTTCATTACTTATATTATTTAAAAAGAATAAAATTTATTTTATAAATATATACATAATAATATTTCATACAGCTACTTAAGTGACTTAGCAAGAATTGAAGCCCCTGATTATTTACCTACCGAACAGGACATTCTACGTGCTAGGGCTCCAACTACAGGCATTATCGAGTACCCTTTCGATCTTGATGGTATTGTTTTCAGGTATCATTGTAAAACATTACATTACCAAAACCTTAAATATCCTGACGTAGCTAACCCAATAAGTAATTTTGTTCCATATCATAAAAATCGATAAAACAATTATATTTATCACTTGTATCTTTACACTTAATGCTTATTAATATATCTACTTGCACTTATAACTCATCTAATATGTCAATAATCTTGTAATAAGATCTAATTATTATTGTAATCAAAAAGTAAATTTAAAAGTATTGCACTTAATTAATTCAATGAAGCTTTCACCAAATTTTATATTAGGTTTTATTTTTTGCTTTAAAAAAGTTTTTTTTTTTTTGTTAAGAGCATGGTGTGGCAGAATAATAACTAACCTCACTGGATTTTACTCATCTTTAGTTAAACTAGTACTCTAATGTGTGATTATTCTAATAATTTATAATGCAACGCCATACTTTAATTCCTAACATAGTAATTGAGTCTGATATGCTGAAATAAAAAAAGAATAAAAACAAGTTTTCTATTGTTATTTTATGTTGTCATTTAAGTTATAATTTTGTTTAAAAACTAATTATTGATTAGCCTTAATTTTTTATTTCTAAGATGTATGTTAATTGTTTTGCCATTAAAAGAATAATTGATTTTTTGTGTTTTTAAGCTTAAAAAGTAAATCAAGTTACAAAAGCTTTGTTTTAGTTGAAATAATTTGACTATATTATTTTAATTTTTTTATGTTAAACTATTAATTTTTTAATTAATATTGTTATTTATGTTAGAATGGTCGATGTTGGAGGCCAAAGATCAGAAAGACGAAAATGGATCCACTGTTTTGAGAATGTAACATCTATCATATTTTTGGTGGCACTTAGTGAATATGATCAGATTCTTTTTGAATCTGAAAACGAAGTAAGTGGTTTTTTTTTTTTTGTAATAACTTAATTAATTTATTTTGTAATTATTAACAGAATCGTATGGAAGAATCCAAAGCATTATTTAAAACTATCATAACATATCCTTGGTTCCAACATTCATCAGTCATACTTTTTTTGAACAAAAAGGATCTTCTCGAAGAGAAAATCATGTATTCTCATCTGGTAGATTACTTTCCAGACTTTGATGGTGAGTATTATTATTGAATAAATGCAAAAATATTAGGTTAAGATTATGTAAAAATACAATATATGTACAAAATGGGTCGCTATTTTTCTATATTATGTGTAAGTTTGAAAAACATGATTATTGTTTACATATTGAGATAATTATATACTTGTTAATTTAGATGAAATTTGTTTTATTTTAATAAATTAACTTAAAGAAAATAATAATTTAAGGTTTGGTGAACAATTTTCAATTATTTGTTCTAAAAATACTATAGTAAAAAAAAATTGTTAATTATACACTACTATTTATAAATTCTCAGATGTTCTTGTGTTATTATAGATTTATATAACTATATTTTTTATTAATGTTTTATTACATTTTTTTTTAATCATGATTATTGTTTTATGTTATGATGATTAACTATTTAGATTTTTAAAGAAATGTCTTAAACATAATAATTTTAAGCTAAAAATTAAAATGATTTATTCCTTAATTTTCGATGATAACACTATTTTATTTTAATAAATAGGTAGTAAACAAGACAATAATGCTGCCCAACAATATATTTTGAAAATGTATCTGAAACAAAATCCAGACCCTGATCGCATGTGTTATTCTCATTTTACAGTTGCTACAGGTTATACTATAGTAAACCAATACAACCTTTCTACCTGTATTTAATTTGAATTTGGTATTTTTGGTCATAAATCAGTATATTGTCTTTGTATTATTACTAAACCTTAGCCTTTTAGTTAGTTCCTTAACCTATGGATTTACTGAAATATAAGAATATTGTATTTGTGAAAATTTAGCTCTAGTCTTAAATAAATTCTTAATTAAGGTCCAATTGTCAATTAATTATTACTGGAATTATCAGAAAAGAGACCAAAGTTTTGATTTTCATCTTTATGTATTAAAATACATATATGTATGCATTATACTTTAGTCTAAATAATCTAATATATATGTCACTATACTATAACTGTACTACTGGATTATCAAATAACAACTAGGCATTATTTTAACTCTTTCCAATACAGAGATCTGAATAATTTCTATACCTTGGTACAATTTTTTTTTTAAAAAAATGTATGATCCAATTATAAAATATTAATATTGTTCTATTATTTACTAAGGGTACTAGATCGTCGTACATTGTATTTATTTACTATTTGTTTAATTTTTGGTTTAGGGATTTCAGTGACTATGTTTCATTAATTCAAAAGAAACAAAAAATTGTATATCTTAAACTCTTTTCTAAAATTTTGTTTTTATAATTATATAAATTGTCTTAGGTGTACAAAGGGATCCCTCAAGTGCACGAGAATTTATTTTAAGGATGTTTGTGGATTTGAATCCTGATAGTGAGAAAATAATTTATTCACATTTCACATGTGCCACAGGTATTAGACTGAACTGATAATAATTGTGCATGAGCCTAATGATGATGTGACTTATGATTTTTTATTGTGGTGTATTCAATGTTGCATGAAATAACAACTAATAATAAGAGTTGCTATAAAAAATAGAGCTATAAACAGCTACTTAACAATTTACCAAACATCAGTTTTATTACTTACATTCTTAAATTAATCATGTTGTTAAATATTTTAATTAAGGTGTTATAATAGAAAAAATTATTTAATATCTATTAAAATGTTTGTATAATTAATGGACCTGGACTTAACATGTAAATATTAATTTTATAATAAATATTTGTACTAAAGTTGTTTAGTATTTGTATCATTAATTTAAAAATTCCTATATATTATTTTAAGAAAATAAAAAAATTAATGCACAAAGGCCAGAATATTATAAACAAGTTCATTATGCAAAAGTGCCAGATTCCCGGTTTCTCATTTAAATTATAATTCATTCTATAATTTTAAAAAAAAATGGTAGCTGGTATATTATGTTTATATACAGAAACATAAACAAATTAAATGTCCTTATTTTTAAGTAAAATATTTATACCTTAGCATATATTTTTCAATCCTGGCTAGTGATATGAATAAAATTTAATATCATAATATCAACAATTGTAACTAATGTACTGACTACTTATATTTTGGACGAACACAAAAAAAAACGTTTAAGTAATTAAAAAATGTAATTAAAAAAAACTGTTGATGTTAACTTTTTTATAATTCTCCAGCCTTTGTGAATTTTTATTTTCTTAATATTATCCTTGGTATTTTTTTTTAATATGAATTAGAATCCAAAAATTATTTGTCCTTAAAATATTGAACTTTAGTATCATTTTTAGCTATCATACGAAACCTATTATTCCAAATTAATTAGTCACTTTTTTCTTTTTTAAATATTTTATAAAATTAAAAAAATATTATTAATATGTTTCTTTCTTACATGCTGCTCTTTTTTTCTTACAATTAATCAGATACGGAAAATATAAAACTGGTGTTTTGTGCTGTTAAAGATACAATTATGCAAAGTGCTTTAAAAGAATTCAATCTAGCTTAATTATTATTATCACTTATTAACATTATTATTATTATTATTATTATTATCATCTTCATCATTATAATTATTATTAAAAATTATTGAAACAAAATACATATTTTATTTTGCTTGTGTTCCTTTTTGGCAATTGTTAAATAAATAAAATAATTTATTTTATTTTATTTAGTATTTTTTCTATATTTATTAATTTATATATCTGATTGTTTTAATGGTATATTATACAATTGATTCATGTATTACTTAAAATCTATTACTCATAGATTTTGCATTTTCTTGCTGGATTCTTAAATTATTAGGCTCTGCTTGAAATGCTTAATCATCTTTTTTGCATGCTGATGGTTGTCAATAATTTCTTCTGGTATGTAAAATTTTTAAAGGTAATATAAAACATTTTTAATTTACTAATAATATATAAAAGTATGCATGCTATTTTTATTATTATAATTTTTATTTCAAATAAGCATTTAATTGTTTTGTTTAATATCATTAAGTAAAATTTGAAATTTGAAGAATTGAACAGAGCATTTCATTAATTTTATGTAAAATCATTTTCAGATACCGAAAACATTAGGTTTGTCTTTGCTGCAGTGAAAGACACTATACTACAATCTAATCTCAAAGAATATAACCTAGTGTAATGTTGCACAAACTACGCAAAAACCCATATGTTAATATTTTTTACTATTATAATGTTAAAATAACAATACGATTAGTATAAATCCTAATTATGTATAAAAACAAACAAACAAAAAAAGTATAAAAAAAAAAAAAAACGAGAAAATGTATCCTACGTTTTTTGTACAATATTTTTAACCGAGTACGTTTTCTCTCACATTTTTATCTCCATGAGTGTCAGTTTGTTAATGTTGGTGTCGTGTGTGAATCGGCGTAAATCCATTGGGATTTCGATAACATAACATAACATATAAAGGGTAACTTAATTTTTTTTTAATACAAATTTTTTACTTGTGTAAAAATTATTTGAAAAAAATTACGATTAATACTTTTTATAAGAACGCATTTTTTAATTTAATTTAATTTTTTTTTAATTTAAAAAAAATATATGGTTAATCTCCTATATGTTCATTGCATTTAACCCTTATGTTATAATAATTATACAAACTATAATATTAAAATTTAAAAAAATTGTCAATATGAAATATGTGTACATAAATCTAATGAGATTAAGAAATTATTAATATCAGAATATAAATGTTTAGGTATTAGTAAATTGAAACTGTTAAAAAAAAAAATTGTTTAACCCTCAAACCAACAAAATTGTTTTACTTGAACAAGAATGATTCATTTATTTTATTAACATCATGAGGTGGAGGTTTACTTGTGCAATTATAATAATTTATAAAACCCTTAAAAAAAATTATAAGGGCGATTCTAGTCAGTCTCGTTAAAAACTATAAAACGTTCATTATAAGCAAAAATATTGTGAAATTTTCTGAGTTACCTGTGTAAATTTGATTAATTTAAAAAAAAAAAAATTGTAATTTTGGTATTTATATTGATAATCTATGGGAGACATCTCAACAATGTGCTCACCCCATTTCGCTCTGTATTTAATTTAAATTTTAAGACATTCGTTTTACTTGTTATTATTATTATTATTATTATTATTATTATTTATTATTATTATTTTTACTATAATTATATTAATATTATGATTATTATTATTATTATTATTATTATTATTATTTTTATTATTTATACATAAAAATATATGTGTGTACATATATTATTATAGATAATTTTCTTCAAATTATGTTGTACTAATTAATTAATAACTCGTTAATTTTTATTTGTTTTCATACGTTATACTTAAAAATCATTACTAACACATTATTTTCAAGAATTAATAATCCAACTAACAAAACTATCGTAAGTACGTACTATTATCATGGTAACAGCATTACTTGACTATAATAGTTATAAACGTACTGTTTCGTTTTAGGCATGTACACACTATATTTTTACAGAACTTCTATTGACATTTAACGATTTATTACTTTCACAACAGGTATATTGTTGCGCACATGTTTTCCTCCTCTTGTGTTAAGTCCCCTCTCATTTAAAAAATTTCATGTGTGTTCATGTATTGTACTTTTTTTCTTTTTTTTTTATGAACAACAGTTTCTCTTTGGGTAAAGCATTCTTGTGTTACAAAACCATACTATTATACCAGCTATGTTTTAGTATGCAATTGTACTCATTGGATGACTTATTATTAACCATATATTTCAGTTTGTTATATATAAAGCGTGTTTATTGCCCTCAATATACATCCATTGGACATAATTGCACATATTAATAATAACAATAATAATAATTATTATTATATTAATATATATACATCCATGTATGTGTTTCTATAATTTTTTTTTCTGGGGTGAACACATTAGCTCTACCACCTGGTGTATTAATATTTTTATTTTTTTTTCCTGTGTCCATTGTGTATAAATATTGTTTTATACTGCTGCAAGCCATTATTTTCAATACTTTTATAATATATTAAAGTATATATTATAAAACTGTCTTCGCATATAATTGTGTTATTTATTTATATTTTTTTTCTCTAACAGTCATTTATGAATATATATGATATAAGAATAATAAACATTTACTATTTTGTAAACCACATTTTATTATTTATATTCTGATATTAAATTTTTGGTTTTATTTTAATTATGATATACTTTGTCTTTTTTTTCTTTCCTAAATAAAAAATTGTTTTTTTTTTTTTTTTTTTTGAATAAGTAAAGCTGCCGGATTTTATTTATTTTTATTATTTTTACTTATCGAACATCTGATAAAACTAGTGCAATTTCACTTTAAAGTTATATGCAAAAATTAATTATTAAAAAGTACTTAGTCAAAGTGTTACCTGTTAGTTTACAGTACTAACAAAAATATGTATGTACATGTACATATATATATATATATATATATATATATATATATATACAATTAATTGTTTTAATAACAATCAAATGTTGGATAAAAATATTCCTTGAGTTCATTATTTTGATACACATGTATATAGTTTTTTTCTGTGTGATGTCTAATGTGAATTTTTTCAAAAAGAAAATATACAATTATATCGCTTTTTAAATCGATTCTTTTTTTATAATTATAACATAATATTTTGGTTTTTTTCTAACATTAATAACAATAGTCATTTTGAAAAGACTTAATTATTCCATGTTATCAATAATGTGTTCATGTTATGATTCTGAGCGAATAAGTTTTTGTTTTAAATCATTAAGTTTGATTATTATTTAATAACGGTTATATTATATTTGGTTTGATTTTCAACATTTTCATTAAAAAAAAAAAAAAAAATTGAATAATTTATTTAGTTTTATTCTTTATTTTATTATTTTGTACCCTTTCAATTTAATTTTTTTTCTTTTGCTACCATCTCAGATAATTTTATTGTCTTTTTAACATCTACACCTTAAGTAAACTTTTTATTTATTTAGTTGTAACCACTGTTTTTGTGGTAATATCCATTTACATTGTATAATAAAAAATATAATGTCCTCTGGTGGATAAAATTTCAGTCACTTCAAAAAATAACATCCAGCGATGTATAGTACAATAATATTTATTATTTTTGTTTGTTCTTCCTGTTTCTCATCGATTCTACTTATCCTCTTTTAAAAATTGTATCTATTTTCAAATTATTCTAATTAGTTTAATTCAGTATCCTATTCAATTTTTGCCTAACAAAGAATGTTCATATAAATAATATATTCTATCTATATCAGTGGTCTTTAACCTACAGTCTGGTTTCATCCTGTCAAGCTTTTCAAACTGGCCCACCAAGTTTATTGGTACTTTATTAATATTATTCCAAATCTGAAAAATTGTGCACTTGTAGTGATTCTAATATTTAGCTCCACTTATGTGAATAAAAGTTTATGAAAATAAAATATGTAAAATTTAAATATAGAACTAACTTAAGTGATGCTATTGACTGGAATAACAAAATTTGATGATGTTAACTATCAAGAAATTTTAAAATACAAGCAGTTACAAATGTTTCATTAAGTAACTTAATTGTATCACAATAAAACAAATTATCTGTATATATAAAACTGTAAGCTGATTGACTGCTATCAACACACAGCTCAAACCATTGGACGGATCTGGCTGAAATTTGGTATACAGATAGCTATTATGATGTAGACGTGCGCTAAGAAAGGATTTTTCAAAATTTTGAATTTAAAGGGTTGAAATCGGCTTAATATTTTTTGACCACGTCGATAACTGCGCTATTGAAAATGAATTATCTGTATATATAAAACAGTAAGCTCATTGACTGCTATGCAATGACTATAAACAAGTCTCAAGGCCAAACTCTTAAATTTGCAGGAATAGATTTGTGAGAAAACTGTTTTTCACATGGGCAGTTCTACGTAGCTTGCTCACGCATAAGCTCACCCAGTAGCTTGGTGATTTTGTCGCCTACTAATAGATCATTGAAGAATATTGTCTACAAAGAAGTTTTGTAGATAACATATTGAAAAACTATTAGTAAAACATTTATTTTGAACCTTTAGTGCTAACATTGTGAACAAAGCTTCTGCCGCCAAAAGCTATAACTTATCGAATAGGTTATGATAATAATCATTATCTTAAAAACTAAATTAATATGTATAAAATATTATTTCAAAAATCTTAATTAATTTAAATTTCAATAGATTTAACAAAATTTAATCTTGGCAGGTTACATACATTTATATACTTAAACCCGGCAACAACGGGTAATTCAGCTAGACAAATAAAAATAAACATACATTTCTTTAAATTCTACTTAACTCTTACATATGGTTCAATTTCATTACCTTTCTATTCCTCTAAAAAAATTTTGACCCACTACACCAAAACATCTTACATTTGACCCTCTGTAATAAATAAGGTTGGAAACTGACCCCTGATTATCTTTGTGAATTGTAATTCTACTATATACAGCATGAATATTTTACCAAATTATTACTATTACAAAATTAAAATGAATATAACGCAACCCAGTTATGTATATTTAATCATTTAAACTTTTATTTCATTTAACTTTACTCCTCATTTATCATCTAACTTAGATCAGAATTAATAAAATGTAAAATTTTGCTTTTAATTAAATTCAAACAGCATATACTTAATAAACTATTATTAACATTTTAATATTTTTTTAAAAGCTGTCAAAAGGACTAACTATTTAAATCATATTTTAACATAATTTATTTCAGTAAAAATATTCTTTTTAACTGGTCAAAAATTATTTCAATGAACTACATATCAAAGCAGTCTATAACACATCCAACGTACATTTTTAAAAGAAATAACTTCAGTGACAATAAAAAAAAAAATTTCGATTTTAGTTAATTTAGTCATGAAATATATTTTGTATAAGTCTGACACTAAGATAATCTTGGAATAGATTTTAAATTAGTATTATTCATTTACAATGAAATGACGCATACTCTATAAGATTAAATTTTATCGAAATCAAAAAGGTTTTAATGCCACTTGGTATTTTTAAAAGATACAAGGTAAGTCCATGAACCTTCATGTTTTTCTTTATTTTAGATTAGAATTGTTCTTATTAACTACAATAATAAGTCATTTCATCTTAACTTACTAAATTTACTTTAAATAAATATAAAAAAGAAAAATTATTGTATTAAGATTTTAGTTGAATTAAAATTTATATAATACACATACAAATACAAATATTTAAAAATGTTTTTGTTTTGCGCTAAATGGACTACAAATATATTTAAGCTATATGTATATATAAAAAAAAAAAAAAAAAAAACAGCATAATATGTTCATATTGTTTAATTATAAATATGCAGTCATTTTTTAGAAATAATATAAGTAATAAGAAATTTAAATCGCATGAAACTTTCCTTCATGTTCATAGTGATCGTAGAAAAACATATTATAACCCTCAACCAGATTACCCATTATGGAATTGATAGCATTCTGGGCTACCACTGCGCCTACAATTGAAGTGGAAGGACTCAGCTCGCAAAATAGTTCACTAAAATTTAAATTCTAAATTAGTATTTCAAAGATTCTACACAGTATTTGTTAATATATTTACCAATAATATTCGTTAAAATAATCAGGTTTAATACATTCTTCATCTGGAGAAATTGAATCAATAATCGCTTTCAATTCCTCTATATCTTTTTCTGATGTATCAGGATTAGGTTTACGGTGGAAATCAAGTTGAAACTTTAATAAAGCTAGTAAATACAATTACAATTAATTATATGAAAGAATTATTTATAAAATTGGATTTTGATATACCTGAAGCCAATACATATGTTGGTGGTTTATTTTTTATAATAGGAACAATATTATTTTGATCATCAAACGGAAAAACTGTATCATATAGATTAAGTTTAAAATTTCTAAAACAACAAAATAATAAAAAAATAAAATCATTAGATGATATGATCCAATATACTTATAAATACTTACAAGTCTTGATAAAAATATCCAAACAAACCATATACATCGGCTATGAACAATTTTACTTTTGATTTTCTACATTCGTCACTCAATTTTCTATAAATCAATGGAGAGCATTCAGTAGCTATAACTACATCAAACGAGGTAATGAAACTTTCATCATTGTCTTCAATGGGCGTTGTGTCAGCAGAGACTTTGACATTTGGGTTCAGTAGTTGTGCAGCAATGATACTTGCTTTAGCGCGCTAAAATTACATACATATTACAATCAGAGCATAGGAAATTATAACATGACCAAAAGCGTTGTGCTTACGTTACGTTCTTGGCTATCATGTGGAATAAGAAACTGTGAACAGCGGTCCAAAATGGAAACATCTGTATGATCCTTAAGTGTAATAGAATTGATGCCGGCCAGTATCAAATTCTTTGCAATTTCAGCACCAAGGCCTTGCATACCGATTAAAAGAACTTTCATAGTTCTTAGCCTAATAATAAAACAATTTTAGTAAAGTACAAAAAAAAAACTGTCACCCTTCGCTACATACTTGTTTTGTCCGTCGTGACCCCACAATCGTATTTGTCTGTCGTAAACCTTCTTTTCTTCCACGGACATCCCGCCATCGCCGTTCATCCGAGGTTTAACGTCAGACATGATGTACAGCAAAACGTATAAGAATATAATATAATAGTGTACGTCTAATAAATGTTTGAAAAAGCACTAAGATGATGGTTGATTTTCGGTTAATGCAAAATTAAGTGCATTCAAACATCTAACCAAAACGGATAACATGAGCACAGGATCGTAATCGAAATTAACTAATATCCGGTAACTATTAACCGGCATCTCGCTAGTGTAACCATTACAGACCTATGATATATATATATATATATATATATCACATATAGGAGTGACCAACATCAACAGGTTCGCGAACTACACGGATAAATACGATGATTCCAAGGGCCAAAACATTTATTGATAAATCTTAAATAATAATAATATGGTAAGTAAATTTTAATATTATAAATAAAACGTGACTCGCATCTGACAATGACAAGAGCCACACGTGGCTCGTGAGCCGCAAGTTGGCCACACTCGGTATTTATTTCTTTGTTTACTGTTACCGCTAACCAGAAATCCGGAACCCTGGTGGACCTGGGTCGTACTCTATGACCTGGGTCAACAAGGGTCTGTCCATTCGTAGTCGATTAGAGCACCATGTTATCATTTTTGTTATTATTACTATATATAGTAAAATATAGCCAATATAATACATATACATATTTTTTTTTTTATTATTCATATGACATATTAATTGGTGAAAACTTTTAAATTAACATATATAAAACTATAAATTATAAAATAACTATCAACATAACATATAAAAACAATAGAGTGACTGCAACACATCTCTTGCTCTAAAGGTGAACTTTCGGGGTACTAAGCCAATCTTGTGCCAATCTACATATACATATAAAAATATATGTTAAATAATGTTTTTAAGTACCAATAATTTCGCTGTGGAAACTTATTAGTAGTGCTAAGAGTTGCCATAAATTTATAAGGGGAAACCGGGTCAAAACGAACACATATTATAGTAATACTATTATAGTACTATAATTAGTATTGTAGCAGAAAGAATAAAATTTTATTTATAATTATTTAACTAATAAATTTGATTTCAAGTTGTTTATTTTTTCTGCACTGGCCATTTACGATATGGATTACGTAACCTACTTTAAACGTTACCCGGCAAATATATTGCAACTTTATTATAACTGTTGAATAAATGATTACAATAACATTCGACATTGCCTTGCGTAACAGCAGAACGATTTTGCATCAAGGTATCTCAAGTGTAAACTTATCAATACCATCAACAACATCAACTCATCTCAAGAAAATGGGATTGACTATCAGGTAAACGGATCTGCACGACAGTACCGTAACACGTCGTACGGTACGGCAATAATGCGCCGCGAACGGGTAACAACGACGTTTCTGCTCCGTCGAGAAGTGTTCGCGTCCGACGTTCGATCGATAGAGCCTCCGCACTTGAAATGCATGATATTTATATGTTTTTCAGTTCCGATCGCCGTAGTGGTCCCGCTCGGGAGACGGACAGGAACGACGAGCGATTGCAGTTGATTACCTTCTGTTTAATCTGCGGATGGCCACGGTTCCTGATCTGGTTAACAGAGGATCAGGGTGCGTACGGTCGAGGTTCTATTTGCGCTACGACACCTTTCGATCTCCGTTGGGGTTTTCTTAACGTATCATCTCGCTCGTACTTTTCCCGCTTTAGCCCGTCGGAGTTTCATGCATCACGGTTGCTGCACAGGATCGGAAGAACCGTGAGACTGCCCTCTGGTTCGCGATGACGTCGGTAGTCGAACTGCTACCAGTCCCGTATCCTTTAAGGAATGCGATTCGCAAACGGATCCCGTCACCACTGTCGGCACACGAGTGGCCAAACGCGACTTCGCGTGCGGCGACTCCTGCGCAACGTTCGTTGACACGTGCACGCAGACTTACCCGTCCGCCGGTGGAGTCGCGTCCGACCTCATCGAAGTAGCTAGCGAACAGGCGCATTTTGCACTGATGTGCGACGCGGTCGACTCGGCGACGAGTGTCCGCGTGACGGCAGAACAAGTCAGTACGTTCGGTGACGATGAAGACGAAATCGTCCCCTACATACTACCGAAAATGGAAGAAAATCGCGCCAAAGTGAGTGCAAAACCACATTACCATTAATTATTTACGGTCATGTTCAACGCGAACCTTCCGGATTCTGCATATTTTTCACATACGCGATAAGACTCGATTTAGTGCGCAGTGTAGTTATAGAACATCAACATTAACGCTTTTCATTTGTCGGGACCAAAATTTGTTTCCCACAAACGCACACAAGAATATTTGAGTGAATTTGAAGAAAAAAAAACGTTATCATTTCAATACCTCGTGAACTTGAGAGCGGCAAAATAATTTGCCGCTGATCGTTTGCAACAGTCGATTACAGTAAAACGATTGCTAACAGTGTAACACTCAGGGCTGGACAAGATACCTAAAAAAAAAGTATCTAAATACAAGCTACAAGATACATTTATAGTTCGTATTTAAATACAAAATACAAGATACTTCGATATCTTTAAAGATACTAGATACGAGATATAATTGTATCTCAGATACGTATCTTAAATACTAGTATCTAAGATACTGCCCAGCCCCGGTAACACCAAACGAACAAATACATACTACACGATACTAATCAACAGGATATTATCTAATATATATATAATTATCTGAATGAACTCTCCAATGTTTACTAATCACGACGTACTATTCCCAGCAATTGAACGTCACCTATTGTGGGAAAATCGGTTTGCACGATTTTCGAAATTCAACGACGGCATCATAGCAGACCCAGGTATGTTAGACAGACGAACGTCTTTAGTTATAGTATCGACTCCGTTTGTGTTTTCATAATTTTACGATTTTTACAGCGACTCTTTACTCCGGGCCTCCAGAAGTTTTGGCAAAACTGATGGCTTCCCGGTGTAAGTCACTGGGTACTGTGATAGACCCGTTTTGTGGTTCCGGTGCGATCGCGATCCAACTGGCCATGGTCTGCCGCAAAGGTATATTGGAGACAACATGAAAATACAATTATTGTCATATTATTTAACACGTTAATTATATATTAAATCGTAATGTATACTAACATTGGACTCGTAATGGTTCGCGTTTTTTATGTAGTCATTGCGATGGACAGTGACCCGGTCAAAATCGCGTTCGCCCGGAACAATACTCGTGTGTACGGGGTCGAAGACCGAATCGTCTTCTTGGTAGGTGACTTCTTTGTCGATGCCCACTCACTGCAGACGGCAGACGGCATCGTCACGTCACCACTAGTGAACATGACTAAAGAGGAAATGGTGAAGTTAACCAAATTGGCAAGTAGGGTGGCGCCGAAAGTCTTAATGAGGTTAACGAAGGACCATGAATTGTCATATGTAAGTCCACAGTGTTATGAGAGCATCAATACGCGAATAATGTTTATTTTTTTTTTATAGCTGTACCAATTAGAGAATAAAATATTTAATAAAATTAATACAGAACAAATATGTATTGACAGGGACCCAAATTCAATTTTGGCTTTCCTAGGTCTCGGAGTACGTATTTTTTTATATCATTAAACGTTTACAATAATTAGGCATAACTATAATCATCGGTCCATTGTTCAATTCATACTTGCAAGTTAATTTTGTATGTTAATAATCTGTTTTAGATGAATACGAATAATTGTAACAGAAACGTAAATAGGATACAGAAGAAAGTGCTTTTGTTTTCTGATGGTAAATTGTAAAAAGTGTACGATGTACGAGGTCTGTTCAAAAAGTTCCCGAACTATCGTTTCTAAAAATAGAAAAATTACATTATTGTAAATGTTATTATATCAAAATAAAATACAGATAAGCAGCTATCTTTTCCATTAAATCTCAAATGTTTATTGCTATCGAATCATTAACTGTGCGCGTTCAAAGTAGACGAGTCGTGTGTATTGTGCGATTTTTAAGATGAGTAATTTTCACGAACAACGTATTAATATTAAATTTTGTGTTAAACTTTGTAAATCTTTTACTGAGACTCACAAAATGTTGCAAAATGCTTATGGTGATCAGTGTTTAGGACGTACACAGTGTTACGACTGGTTTAAACGCTTTAAAGACGGTCGGGAATCAGTTGATGACGACCCACGTTCAGGACGTCCGTCGACATCGACAGACGATGCTCATGTGACAAAAGTCAATGAAATTGTGCGGTCTAATAGATGTTTAACTATTCGAGAAATCGCGGAAGATTGTAACATATCGGTTGGTTCATGTCATGAAATCCTGGTCGAAAAACTTGGAATGCACCGCGTTGCAGCAAAATTTGTCCCTCGGTTGATGTCGCAAGATCAAAAAGACAACCGCGTAACAATCTGTCAAGAATTGTTAGATCGCGCTAACGATGATGACATGTTCATGAAGCAAATTATAACGGGTGATGAGACATGGGTCTATGGCTATGATGTTGAGACAAAATTCCAATCATCACAGTGGGTTGGTAAATTTTCTCCAAGACCAAAAAAAGCTCGTCAGGTCAGATCAAACGTCAAAGTTATGCTAACAGTTTTTTTCGACAATCTGGGAGTTATTCATCACGAATTTCTACCTGCAGGACAAACTGTTAACCGATGGTACTATCTAGAAGTATTAAAACGTCTTCGAGAAAAAGTACGGAGGAAAAGGCCTGAAGTGTGGAAAAAAACTCATGGTTTCTTCATCACGACAATGCTCCGGCGCACACTTCCCTGTTAATTCGTGATTTTTGCGTGAAAAATCACATGACCGTACTTCCTCATCCACCATATTCTCCCGATTTGGCACCAGCAGACTTTTTTTTATTTCCAAAATTAAAATATCCGTTAAAAGGACAAAGATTTTCTACGATAGACGAAATAAAAGAAAATTCGCTAACGGAGTTACGAGCAATTCCAGAAACCGCTTTCCAGGATTGCTTTCAACAATGGAAACGTCGTTGGCAAAAGTGTATTAACCAAGAGGGAGAATACTTCGAGGGTGATAAGTCTCAATAGCTTGTAAGTAAGCACCATAAATAAAAAATTGAAAAATTCGGGAACTTTTTGAACAGACCTCGTATATAGATAAAATAGTGTTTTTTGGAAGATCTTGATACCAATGATAACATTATTTTTAATTTCCATAGGGGTATCTGTTAATCGTCGTGTGCATTGGATAAGAGGTAATAATCTTTTTGCATACGACGATTACCTCAAAAACGTTGAAGAATTCTTGAAGAGCCAAAATCTCAACTAACAGACGATTCCTCAATACAACCGTAAGAATATAATACAATTGATATCTGATAGTAAATATTATTTATAAATTATAATCAATTATAAATTGTATAGATAAGGACATGTTTTAGATAAGAAACATTTTGAATTTTCATAAATCATTTATAAGAACTAATATATTATAAACAGTCTTAATTTCACGAAAAAAACGTTCTAAAGATATAAAAGTATTACATTAAATAGATAATCGTTTAACATTTTTATATTTCTTGAAATATACAATGAACAATTTTTATAAGAGCATCGTTCGGTAGTTTTATATGTACCCAGTATGAGACCAAGCTTGTAATCAAAATAATGACTTAAAATAATTTACTAAAAAATAAAAATATTAAGAAAATTGTATAAATGTATTATATAGGTGTAAAAATAGAAAACTAACTATTTTTAAAAAAAATAACGGATACCTCCAAGTACTTCATTTTATGTCTTATTTTATTTAGCTCTAAGTTTTAAAGGGATAATTCTATCGGGTTGGTAGAGGGGTTCTCTGTCTCTTAAAATAAAACAGTTTCAATAAGTGACGTATGAATATTTTTAGGATTATTCTGTTTTAATTTTGCCAATGACCCGTTTATTGAATATAAATATTAAATTTTAAACGAACACTCGTACCGAGCAACAATTAAATACCACAATAACATCATTATTGTTAAATCCAACTAATAAATAAATTATATTTTATTTCAGATACGCATACCATATAATATATTTTAAATTAAAATTTTTTATTTATTCTATATCCATTGAGAGATTAGAAACATTGTTAGGTTGATAACTGATGTGTAAAAAAAAATGGAGATCTACAAGTTAACTGTTTGTGTAAAACATTACAAATGACTGGTTCGAAATTATCAAAAGTAACATTTTAAATACTATTAATTAAACATTTTAATAGCTCTCCTAATAACGTGATTTATTATTTCTAGATGTATTTCTAGTCTAATATGGCTCGGGCATAGCTCTTGCGCATCTATTAATACTAGAACGTGATTCGTTTAGACAAAGTTAATCAACAACGTTAAGACCGTTAAAATACACGAAATGACGTACTTCGACAAATGGATTCATGAAGGTAACTATATAATATTATTCTAAACTGAGTTTCAAATATTGCACAGACTTTTATCGATTATTCAAAACCAATGCGAGTTGATTTGGGGTATCAAGGTATAAAACGATGAAACAACTGAAATCGATGAAACTGAGCCATCGGTTTAAATATTAATATTTTTTGAGTAGTATTGATGTTTGTGAATTCGTCGAACAGCAAATTAGGGTGGTGAAAATCGGAATTTGCGACAACAACAGGTTGAATTAGGATGAATTAATTTCGTCGGTTTTAGTTTCAGATCCAGATCAGTCGATTACTAAGGGATCTCGTTTTAAACATAGACAAAAAACACTTACCGTTCAACTAATTACTTAATTCATTCAAAGTGACTGTTATGATTTATTATATAATTTCGTAGAAGAAACGGATTTGATGGAGCAATGTAATAATTACATATAGGTACTATTAACAATATTATACATAAAACATATACACTTATCTTATACGGAGGATGTCGATCGACATTTTGACTTATAATTTCGAAATATTTAATCATGACAGAATTATAAATATTAATTAATTTTATCATGTAGAACTAATTAATAAGATAATTAATAATCAATTAATTAATTTAGAAGTAGTAAACGAATTTTTTTTCTCCAATTTTTTTTCCCATTTTAAATTCCATCATACAATAAATATAATTTAATCTTAATATTTACAAGATATTATTCAACAGTTATCCCCTATTATAATATGTTTATTGAAAAACGATCAAACTAATTTTGTTTTATCGATAACTCGTGCAGCATTGTTTGAAAATATTCAAATCAAATAAAAACCTTCTTTTAAAAGCAAACCACTTGTCAAAGATAATGGTATTTTTAGGATAAATATTAATATTTTTGAATTATTATTATAAAATAAAATTTATCTGTTTTAATATTTTATAGATTCAATAAAATACATCAAGATGAAGAAGTTAACGCCAGCTCACTGAACATGAAATACTTAATCAACGATATTGAAGATGACTTAAAATATTAAAATGTTTAATATCTTAAAAATTTTTTCTATATTTATTTCATTACTTTAATAACATTTTACATTTTGTTTACATAATATTTATATTTTTTTTCTTGCAATATATAATATTATTTTATTATTGTATATTTCTATTTATTGATTTCTCATTTATATCGTCGCATACATGATAAAATTCATAATTAATAATGTAGGTAACATATTTAAGATTAAGAAAAACTGATATAATGATGAATTTACAAAACTATAAAATATAATAACTAAAATAGGTGTAATTTAATTTTTACACGGAAGAAAATTCATATATTATTCAAGACAAAGTGCAACTGAATAAGTTCCTATATCTTTGTTTTCAATGGAATATAAATATTTATAAGAAGCAATTAAAATACAGTGGATTCCGCCTAATGTGGGCATAGGTGTCTAATTTCGAAAATGAGGGTGCTAAGCACACTTAAGCCCTCCCCTTAAATTGCGCCTATGATTATATTTCACTGGTGCTCGTGTACTATAATGAAATTAATAATTTCTGTAACCCAAGTATGGTCACTGCAAGTGGTTTCTTCACTAGCAAATCTTGGATATTGAATAAAATATAAAATATAAATAAAGATATTTTGATCCCTATAAAAGTATATAAAAGTAAATGTATATAAATTATAAGAAATGTACATGCGAGGATAAACACAATAATAATTGACAGGAACTCAAGCTTAATCGATATTCTTCTTATATCCTGACTGCCTCGTGACACATATTGGATCTTGTAAAACATTACTATGCATTTTTATCCTATTAAAATCATAGATATTTTAGTAAATTAACTTTAAAACCGTTTAAAAACATCATAAATCAAAATTAACTTAAAATATTAATTAATCAAGTTAAAAAGTGTCACTGCTGGGTGGCTTCTTTTAACAGTCAATATTTGTATATCAACAATTCTATCCACTAATGCTTATGGCCAGTGTTGGGAATAGATAGTGCAAAATTTATCTAGATAAAGATAAAAGATAATTTCATTTTTATCTAGATAAAAAAAAAAGATATTTTCAAAAAATATTATTTTTTGGTTAATATTTCATATTTATAATAATATCTATGAAGATAATATCTATTATAATCATTATTATCAATAGGTACCTAAGTGTTTAATGTTTATTGTAGTAATGTAGAGTACAATGAAGCAGTATTTATATATAATGTACAATATTTAATGATAGTTTATCACTAAAAATGTGACACAAAAAAAAAAAACAATGAAAATTGCTTTGTAAGTATCAGGATGAATACAGAATACAGAAGCAGTGGTGGATCTACGGGGATGGATATGGAGGATAGATCCCCCCCTGTGGGCCAAGACAAGAGTTAAAACATTTTTTTTGCAACCAATTCAGTTTTTGCACCCAAAATTTAAATAAAAACTATTTTTTTATTATTTCGTTTTCATTATTTCGTAAGCAAGAAGGATACAATAGTATACATTAGTATCTAACTTAATATCAGATTACGGATATACACCTCGTACTTATATCATGCCCCGGGATACAGCCATAGAGTAATGGCACAGTCATCAAGAAAATTAAATTTTGTTTTGTACATTTAGTAGAATATAGTTTATAATACCTATACATATTATGTACGAAAATATTTTATATCCTCCCCCCATGATAAAATCTTAGATCCGCCACTGTACAGAAGAGATTATTTTAAGTTAACAATATTGTTTTCCATATAATCATAATTTGATGATTTTCATTATTCTATAAGTAGTTATGATTTTACGGGTTCCAAAAGTGAAGTATTGACTATTCAACGTATGAGTTACGTGTGTATACTAAAATCAAATACCTACTATATTTGGAACTTCCATGGAAAAGTAAGAAATTAAGTTTAAAAATACCAAAAATATTTTCCCGACATGAAAATACAAACAAAATGTCATACCAAGAAATAATAATTACTAATTAATAATACACGAATTATAATTATGAATACAAAATCTATATACATAAAAAAAAGTCTGGTTAGTTACAGAATTTATAATTCAAGAACGGCTGGATCGATTTTGATGATCTCTGATTTATTGGATTCGTCTCCGTACAAGAATAAAAATAAATCTAATCTTGACAAGAATTCAGACAATTATCTAGATAAGTAAAAGTTTTATCTTAGATAATTAATTAGATAACTTAGCGTTATTTATATAGATAAGATAAAATATGACAAAATTCTATCTATATAGATAAGTCCCATCACAGCTTATGGCTTATTTAAAAAAATTTACAGATTGTGTATTGTTAATAAAAACTTAAAAAAATATTAAAATAAAATTTTAACAAAAACTTTATCATATAATAACCAACAATTAAATAAACTTAAGAAAAATTATTAATAATATCCTCGGGATTTAAATGTATTGTCAATTCTTGTCCTATAGTTAAAAGTATTAATTAATTTAATCTATCTTTAGTCATTGTAGTTCTTGATTTGGACTTCCCTAAAGTGACTTGAAAATGTGTAACTTTATCAGAATAATCCAAGCTTTATCCAACCCCCCCCCCTCAGGGCCAAAAAAAAAGAAAAAGAAAATTGTTATGTTATTGATGACGTGCAATATATTCGTAGTCTCATTATTACACTTTGAACTTAAAATATACCACTATACAAATATTATGATAATTAAATAATTATATTGATAGGTGTTTGAAAAATTTTGTTAATTATGCTTTTATATTCTAATAGCTAATAATTTACTGTAATGTAAAAGTAAACTGTAAATTGGTAAAAAATTTGTATAAAATAATATCTATTTATAGCAGTTATTTATCTTATTTATTTGTGCAACGAAAAAAAAAGATAACGATTATTTTTATTAAATCCCCCCCAGAGCAAGATTGAATGTACGCCACTGATAGTACAAAAATTCTTATTATTAGTTAGTGATGGGCGATTTAAATCGATTTTTTGAGTCGATTTATCGATTTTAAAATCCATTAGCCCGGCCGATTTTATTGTTGAATCGATTTTTTTCCTCGATTTTTTCGGCCGATTTTAAATATATATTATATAGTAGTAGATCCATATTTATCGATGGTAGCTACTTCGATACCTTCTGAGCGTCTCTTCTCGATGGCTGGGCAGATAATGACCGAAATTCGTAACCGATTGTCTGGTGATAACCTTAATAAACTTATATTCCTTGAATCTCTCTCGGAAAATGATTGGCATTTAGAATAAAAGTGTGAAAAGTGAATAATTTAATTTAAATAATTAAAATTCCAATGACATAGATAGCTCTTTTGAGTCATACAAATGTATAATATTATAAATTAAATATTATTAATTTCATTTATTACTTTACATTTTAAGCATTTTAAAAATTGTATATTTTCAAATGTATCAATAACAATTATGCATTGTTAATAACAATGAATTCTTAAAAATATTTGTATAAAATATGTATGTATATTGTATATTAATAAATAAAATAGTTTTTTAGTTGTATTGTACACTAGCATGTAATGTTTATAATTGTTCTAAATATCTAGTTTGATTACACTATGAATTACTGCGTTCCACAATTCCACCTTTGTTTAGCATGCTAGATTACTATGAGTGCGAAGCACTCCCTGTCCCTCTTGATTTCGGGTCATGTCTATTGTCTATATGATGGATAGTGTTGTAGTCCGAGGTTGACGAAGCTACATCAATCACAGAGGAATTCATATACTCTTCAATGAATAGGGAGGAAAGGAATAAAGGATACGCCTTAATTTTTTTTACTCAGTTTTATTGAAAACATTTTTAGAAAAAAAAAATCGATTGAAATCGAAAAATCGATTTATTTTGGTCGATTTTTTAATTTCGATTTAAATTGATTCAAAAAATCGATTCACCAACGTGAATCACCCATCACTACATCATAGAGACAATAGACATGACCCGAAATCAAGAGGGACAGAAAGTACTTCGCACTGATAGTAATCTAGCATGCTAGACAAAAGTGGAATTGTGGAACGCAGTAATTCATAGTGTAATCTAACCATAGGCGTGCGCAGACCTCTTTTTCAGGGTATGCAAAAGGCTGCCACTGCCTACCCCACCTACACCTATAACTGAAAGTTAATTTAAGCGTTCGAAATTCTGATCTTAATAACTATTTCATTTAAAATTTTAATTTTTTTTCCTGAAAAAAGTGACTGAATAGCCATTTCTTAATCGTTATAACTGTCTTCATAATTAAAATTTAAAATAAATTACGAAAAAAAAAAATTAAATACATAACACTTGAAATGGTTTGAGTAATACGTTTAAATAGGGTCAGTGGCGTATCCAGGATTCATTTAACGAGAGTGTTTTAAAATTTAATAGACTTATGGTTAGTGGGTGGCTCTGTCCCCCTTCCTACATTACATAAATAAATACCATGTATTTAGATAAATTATTATACTATATTAAATGTATGTAAAATCGACAAGTTGTATACAACGTTTATTCAAATCATACTGTAAGTAAGTTTGTAATTTAATGAAATACCATAGAATATGGTCGAGGGTGGGGTGTTCTAACACCCATATCACCCCACTTAAATACGCCCCTGAATAGGATAAATAAATAAAAACGTAATTATATACTAAAATAAAAAACAAAATAAACTTGATAAATAATCAAAATTAATCAAACGATTAAACGATTCTGTATACTGTTGAGTTCTTAATATCACCAATAATGTTTTCGGGATTTTAATTTATAGTCATTTCTTGTTCTGTAATTGATAGCTATTTAATCTTGCTTGAATTATTGTACTTCTTAATTTCATTAACACAGTAAATCGTTATTATAGCATATGATTTGTGTTTCAAAAAATAAATTAAACTGTCTGGGACTGAATGTAAAAATATAATAAAAATAATAATGTAATACAAAATCACATAATATACTTAAGAGCAAATATGTCTTAATTTTTATTAATTTTTTTGTAATTTTAGAAAAAAGGCTCTATGTTTAGGGTATGCATTTGCATACCCTGCATACCTCCTGCGCACGCTTATGAATCTAACTAAATATTTAGAACAATTATAAACATTACATGCTAGTGTACAATACAACTAAAAAACTATTTTATTTATTAATATACAATATACATACATATTTTATACAAATATTTTTAAGAATTCATTGTTATTAACAATGCATAATTGTTATTGATACATTTGAAAATATACAATTTTTAAAATGCTTAAAATGTAAAGTAATTAATGAAATTAATAATATTTAATTTATAATATTATACATTTGTATGACTCAAAAGAGCTATCTATGTCATTGGAATTTTAATTATTTAAATTAAATTATTCACTTTTCACACTTTTATTCTAAATGCCAATCATTTTCCGAGAGAGATTCAAGGAATATAAGTTTATTAAGGTTATCACCAGACAATCGGTTACGAATTTCGGTCATTATCTGCCCAGCCATCGAGAAGAGACGCTCAGAAGGTATCGAAGTAGCTACCATCGATAAATATGGATCTACTACTATATAATATATATTTTAATCGGCCGAAAAAATTGAGGAAAAAAAATCGATTCAACAATAAAATCAACCGGGCTGAATCGATTTTAAAATCTATAAATCGACCCAAAAAAATTGATTTTTTAAAAAATCGATTGAAATCGCCCATCACTATTATCATATTATGATGGAAAGTGTAGTCCGAGGTTGACGAGGCTTGAAATCGGTCGATTTTTTAATTTCGATTTAAATCGATTCAAAAAATCGTTTCACCAACGTGAATCGCCCATTACTATTATAAGTTATTATCACGGATATTGATGATAAACATTTATTATCCATATCCATGGTTATTTATACAGTTCAATGATAACAACACGCACCTCCACCACAACGGAAATATCGAATGCGCCGAGGATCCGATCGCACCATGCGGGTCAGCTGGTATTTGCTTACGTTTTTTGTGATAAGCTGGGGGAAAAAAAATTTCTTTCATTGTGTCCGGGTCTTTCGATTGTCGTTGGTCCGTTAACGTCAACCGTGGCCGCTACCGTCGACGTAGTGTCCACGTAGGACGTGTCTAAAGTCTCGGCAGCTCTCCATGCAAATCGGCTCCCGGACATTTTCCGTTACCGCCGCACAAATGTTCCTCGCTTCGTTTGCTGCCTGACTTGCCCCGAGAACATTTCCTGCTCCTGCTCTCGCTAACAACAGACGTGGCTGTTCGTTAACTACTTGAAACAGCCTCTGAGCCGCACACGTCTGCGATCCACCGTTTGTTGCGGTTGAGGAAAACGATATGAAGATGAGCGACTCCATGCAAAAGTTGAACGATACAATTGAACATTACAAGAGACAAATCAGCAGGGCTACCGAATCCAACGACAATGATAAGGTAATTTCTGATTTCCTGTTGACTTACAATTTTATGCAACATATATTGCCCATAGATATTTTTGCCAATGTATGGCTATTGTATGTATTACAATTCCAAAATTACTCACTGAAAATGTATGGCTGTATATAGGTTTTTCTTCTTCTTGCCAATCAATATGTTTAATTTCTTTTATTAAGTTTAAGTAAAATATTTTATAACACTATTTATATGTATATGTATAATTTTAAAACAATGAAATATTTTTTCTATCTCAAAAATTCCATAAATAATTCTTTACAGAGACTTTCGGTCTTTGTTTCCTGATTTGTTGTGTACATAAATTTATTTAGAAACAACATAGTTCTTTCGATTGTTTCACTATACTATTTTTTTTATATGTACAATGAATGAGTCATAATCATTATATTTTGTAATGAGAGTATTTTAATTGTATGTATAACCAGTTGTCCGCCATATATGTATATTAGATCTACTACCAATTTAAATGATAGTGCTCTTACTATACTTAAAGTATAATTGGTTAGCGATATATTTATTAAACGTTAAGTATTAAGTAGTTCATATACTGAATAAATATTGTAAGTCTTGTTTCCATATGAGGTTTTTATTTTACACCAATATTTGTGAGGTGTAAGCAGGCCTGGCTCAAGGAATAGGCGACATAGGTCTATGTCTAGAGCAGCATTTAACATTTTTATACTATAGACAATTTTTAAAAAAAAAAGATTACAATTCCTAATATCTACTCATATAAAATTATATGTAGTAAAATAATAAAATAATAATAAAAATAATAAAATAAAACTGATAAATTGTTTTGTTTTATTTAAATTAGTAGTAGTTTAATAGTCTACAAATGTATTGATCTAATTATTTGTTAACTTATATAAATTAATATAATGAACTCTGAACTTAATATTGGTTATGTAGCTAAAAGAAATAATATTTAATGTAGAATTTATATGTAAGGGACGGCAAAACTTAAATTTGTCTAGGTGTTATTAAACATTTGAGTTGGGCCTGGGTATAGGTTAGGATTCTCTTTATATGAGTCATGATAAATCTATCATGTTATTTTCTTTTTTGGATTATTCACATGATAATATACAAATCCATTAACATATATCCAAATATGTAGATATCAGTGACATAACATAGACCTTAAAATTTATGTGTTTTTACACACCTACATTAGAATCACATTAGGTTATTGATCTGTATTTCTTTCATTAAGTAATATAGTATTAATTTTTTATTATTAAAAAATGTATTTAATTTAATTTTTATTTTTTGAGTAATATTTATATTTTTTTTATTGTGTTAAAGCCATTAGAAGAGTTAAGGAAGTTTAATATTTATGTATACCTTTGAAGAATATAAACTTCAGAGAATTTATCTTTATTGCCAAGCTTGCTACTAAAATTACAATTTACTATTTTAATATATCCTCAACTGGTCAAATATTTTATTTAATTTTTAATTTTACATGTTTATCATGATTCCTATTTAATAAATATCTATAAGATAATTTATAAAATTATATACACTCCTTGTAAATTGTTGAGATATGTGCTTGGATTGGAAGATCAGAAGTTTATTCAAATGTTGTTCTCAATCTCAAATTATTGAAATTATGTTATGACTAAGTAATTTTACTTAAAATTAAGAACCTACTTCAAATAAATAACAAAAATGTATTATTTTAATTACATTTTTTTTACCGATAAATAATAATTATTAAGTAAACTTAAGTAAAGTACTTGAAATATATTTATATTGATGTTTAAACTTTATTTGTTCTTTATAAAGTAATTTAAAATTACTAATCTTTCATCATTCTTAGTACTTTGTCTTTTACATTCATCAATTATTGTTAGGTAATAAATAATATTTTTTTCAAAAAAATTATTTTTATTTTATTATTTTTTTAACATTTATAATTTAAATTATATAAAGATATTTTAACACAAAATATTATCTTCTTGCATTCAATTTCTTAACAAAATTAATATCATAATTTTTATATATTATTTTTTATATTTTTTTAGTTTCAGGTTCAATGTGTTCATTAATTTAATTACTTTGCTCTATATATAAATTAAAAATATATTTTTTGTGTTTAATAATAATTAAAAATCCATTTTCTATGATTTCCATATTTAATCTTATAATGGTTTTCATACTAATTTTTTAAATCTATTAATTAATTTACTCAATTATTATTATTATTTTATCTTTATTTTTTATATATTTACTCTTTACTAAAGCAATATAAATGACAATACTTCCTTATGGAATTTTAAAATGTTTTCTTGACATCGAGTGAAAGTTTCTACCTATATATATATATATATATATATATATTTTGTAATCTAATTGAATAAATTTCTCCAATAGGTCAGCAGATCAAGGTCATTATTGTAATAAAATTCACAAGCACATGTGTTATATATTTACTCTTTGCTTTTAATATCTTGATAATTGTATCTATATAGTTAATATTAATATAAATATGTTATAAATATAAACATTAGATTACTGACTTATATTTAACACGTTCACTGCCGATGACGACTACGCGTCGTCATACGTTGTCGGTAATACGCAGCCGACGACGACGCGTGGTCGTCATAAACATATGTGTTTTTATTTTATAAATAAAATATTCGGCTATTGATTAACAATTTCAATTATTTGTGTGGACAATGTGAAAAAATATTTAAAAAATTAGATTTGGTTTTTTTTTAAAAAAAAGAAAGAGATGTTGCATGAATTACAACTGACTTTTATTTTCAGATTATGAGGTATATTTTAAAACTTTCTCGACTTCATATCACTGTTCAAAACTTACAAAAGACTGGAATTGGCCGTGTAGTTAATAGTTTAAGAAAATATGATGGCGATATTGGAGAATCAGCAAAATCATTGGTTATTCAATGGAAAAATGTTGTAAAAATTGAAGAGTCTGAAAATTTTTATCAAAGAGATGAAAATTCTGATGAAGAAAATCAGGAACTATCATCTACAAATGATAATGAAGAATTACAAATTAACCAAAGTATTACATCGAGTGTTGCATCTACTAGTTATTATGGTAATGCACCAGAAATAAGTGACGGAAATAATGGTAATTCGGATGATCATGTATCATCTCATCACCGACATCATGATAAATCAAAGTACAAAAAAAGTAAAAAAGATAAAGAATCTAAAAAAAGAAAAGAATCTATTTCTAATACGACAGATGATCAAGAGGAAGGACACACTTCTAAAAAATTAAAAAAAGATCATAAATATGAAAGTGTCAAAAATAAAAAAGAATCGGAGAAAAATGAAATTACAACAACTTCTCGTCGAGATAATACGAACCATTCTGAAGAAAATATAAAAAAAGATAAAAAAAGTTCACATTCAGATAAAAAGAGAGATAAGCATAGAACTTCACATAAATCTGAATCCAAATCTCACAAACACAAAAAAGATTATAAATCAAGTCACAAAGATAAAAGCAATTTAAAAAAAAGATCCAAAGATAAAACTTCTGATAAACCCAAAGAAGAATATAAGCCTTCAACTAGTTCTACACAAAGTACTAATAGTAAGTTTAATTTCTTATACAAATATTATTTTATTATTTATTAAGCAATTTATTTTAGACAAAACATTTGAAGAAGCATTACTAGGTATAGAAATAGGTAAAAAGAAACAAACGAAATCCAAGTTTAGAGACAGATTAAGTCAATCAAGTTCTCCTGAACAGGAATTGAATCATGTTCCTGATGTGAGTTTATATTTTAAAAAATTATTGAATTTGTAAAATCATTACCATATTGAAAATTTATTTCTAATTCTAGAGCCCTGAATTGGCACCATTAAATTTAGATCCTGAAGAATTAATTGCCAACTATAAACCATTACCTCAATTAGATGTAAAGAAAAAGAAAACAATAGAAGATATTGATCCGTTAGCTAAAATAATGAAAACAAAAAATATGAGGTATAACTTAGAAACTAATTTGTTGAATTTTATTTTCTTCATCTTTATAATATTTGAACAGGACAAAAGTATATTCTGGAAATAAGAGCACAATTTATACAGAAGTTCCTACACTACATGATCTTTGTGTCAAATCAATTAAAAACAATTTGGATTGTAAATATTAATTTCCTTGCATAGCTCATATAATTTTAATTCAATTTTTTATTTATCTATATTATTATTTTAATGTATTTAAATTTGTTTAGCTTTGTCATATACTGGTGGAGTTCCATTTGAAATACTTGAGCCAATATTAAAATACGCTTCTCCTGATCAGTTATATAATTTAGAACATTACAATGACTATTTAATTGAAGATACTGGAAAATTATGGGAATATCATTGCCAAAAAGAATTTCGTGGAAAAGTTCCAGAAAAAAATGAAATGTGGAGAGATTTTTACATAGTAATTATTAACTATTTTAATTATAATATATTATTCACTTTCCTTATATAAATTCTTAATTTATATATTATTACAAAATTATAATTATTATTGTTATGGGCTTCATATCTTCATTTGAGCAAACTCAAACTTATGATCTTAAGGATTATTTTAATAATCAAGATTAATTTTAGATTGGTAATAAGGTCATAGAAATAATATTAATTATATTTTTATGCATGGGTACTAATTATCAATTTTTCATAAATTAATTTGTGTTATAGTCATTCCAACAAACATTGTAAGAAGTTCCAGAATTTTTATTTTCATCTAAAATGACAAAAACCAATTTTAATTATTTTCTCAAAATCTTTTGTTTTTAAATTTGTTTTATTCTCATTCATTATATATATTTTTTAACCCATTGTGTTATAGTTAATTTAATTTTTTCATACTTTTATTAATTTTGAGATCTGAAAAAATATAAATTAAGTTATTAAAATTATTGAAAACTACCTGACAATTATTTTCTTTTGTAAGATTAAATATTTTTTTTTTCAAGATATAATCAAGATAATCTGGAAATTTAATATATATATAACCATAAGGCCTTTAATAGATAATTGGGAAAACCTATCAGTACCTAAAACAACTAAAATTTAAACCATATATTATAAATAAATACATAAAGATAATGTTATTTGGTAAACTCTGTATACATTTTATTATTTTATAAGTTGAAACTTAACATTTTTATCTATATATGGCAAAAATTCTGTACCCTAATAAGAAATCTGAACTTGAACAATGCCAATTGATATATTTCGTAATTTCAATTTCATATAGAAATAAAAACATATATTTAAATTGTATCAAATCCTTCTAATTGAGTTTGATCTTAAATTAATTGTTGTAATTTTTCATTTAGTAAAATTATTACTTATTTTGTTTTTATGTTAGCTTAGTATCTTTAATTTTTAGCGATGTCTAGAAGAACGTGAAACAAAATTGGCTAAATTACGAAAGAAAGTAAATGCAAATCAGGCTGCTTCCATTCCTGTTAGAAAAACAATATTAGCGTATGTTAATACTGCAGCTAAACCACCTCGAGTAGTCGCTAAAAAACAGGTATATTGATTGAATAAATATTGTTTTGATTCATTTTTCATTGACTGTACAATATTTTATTTACCTTCTATGTACACATTATAGCATAGTTTTTGTTACAGGCAAAGTTCCAAACGGCTTCAGATACTAAGCGTGATATCTTAAACAAATCAATGATGGGAGAAAATTCTAGTGCAGAAGCCCTAACCTCTATTAATAGATCTACTACTATGGCTACTGGTGTACCCATTGCTTTAACTTCTTCTCATAGATCATCTGCTCCAAGTATGTCTAATACTTTAATTTTTATTTTAAATTTATATATTACATAATTTAACTTCAGATCTCTCTCATTAATTATATTTGATTAAATATTTTTAATGCTGTCAATTTAATTTTATGAATGATAGAAATGTATTTATTCAAAATTGGAATTTAATAATATCAATAGTTAAAAATTTAGTTCTTAAATTTCTTAATAATCTTATAATTAAAGTCCAATTTTATTAAAATATTAAATTAATTTGTGATTATTTTTATAACAAATTGTTATGAAACTAAATTGAAATTGTATAAAAAGGTAGAATAAATAATAAATTGTATTTAAATTAGGAGGGGGGAATTAGTTGATGTTGAATTCTGAATGTTATAGACATGAAGAATAAATGTAATTTATTGCATAAACTTCAAAAGTTGCAGGGCTTTAACCATTTGTAAAAAATGAACTATTTTTTCTGCAATTTAATTTACGGTGTGTTTTTAGTTTATTTATTAAATAAAAATGTTTTCAATGCTTTGAGAGAAGCTTTTATAAAATATTTTTGAGTATATCAAAATCTCATATAAAATAAGTTGATAAGTTGTTTATTAATTTTTATTATGATTGCAGTTAAAAAGAAAAAAGCTCCTTTGATGCAAAAAGCTATACAACTTGTTAAATCTACACGCAGACGTTAAATTATGTCTTATATATATATATATATATATATATATATATATATATATATATATACATATATTTATAACATATACTTAAGTTTCTTAAATGTATACATTTTAAATACTATATATGTACATATATAATATGTTTCTACCCTCAGAGGATTTAGAATTTTAATATTTTAAGTTTAAAAAAAAAATTTATATCTATATATATATATATTTATTTATGTCTGTGATTTATTGATTTCTGATTTATTTAAATGTTTTAATTCTGTAAAAGTAATAAGGTAACATAATGTGAACAACACATTTTAGTGTAATTATAAACATTGTTATTGTGATTCTAATTTATAATTTAAGTACTTTATTATTAATTATATTTTAATGTCTTGACTTAGGTACTATAATTTTCTGTTATAATTTTTTCAATGTATTTGTGTTTTGTGTAATTATTACTGATACAAGCATTTTCAAGGACATCATTTCAATTTGACAAACTTATTATTGTAATGTATCAAGCACTTTTTGTTATAAATTACCATTATTACTTATGTGTTTATTGAAATCACATACTATATAAATTGTATCTAATAAATGTATCTATTCTTTGAAAAATATTTTATTAGTTTCCTGTCTGTGGAAGAGGCAATTTTTTAATTTGAAAATTAAAAGTACTAGAATCTAGTAAAAAGGATTTAAAACTAACAAATTAAACAAAAATACTATTTATAATAAATGCATATATTTTTAAGAACATATTTTGAGTATTACTGCTTACAGCTCTTAGAAAAATAATTTAGTTAACTCAAATAAAATATCTGGGTGTAATTATTAATAGGAATTTTAGATGAAATATATAAATTTTAATAAAATAGTAATGGGCTTGAGGAAATAAATGTATACATTTTGAAAATAATTCCATAGAAAAGAAATCTTAGGAAGATCCTGTCTAAGATGGGAAGACTTTATGATAAAAAAAGTTGAAGAATTAAGTGAAGGGTCAGATTGAAAGTAGAAAGCATCTGATAGAGATGGCTAAGAGGTGAGGTGTTTAACGGAATGATCCTTGTGATTTACTAACCAAAGAAGAAGAATGTTTTGATTCTATAAACTAAATTAAACTACCCAGATCCGCGTTTAACAGGGGGAAATTTTTCCGGGACGGCAAATTTTTGATAAACAACATAAATAAAAAAAATATAGTTAAAATTTTTTTGTATAACTATATATAATGTATAGTATATGACTATAATACATATTATTTCGTTCATAAACATCACGAAAATGCCGCAGTCTGCTTATCAGAAGGTATAAGAATTAAGAACTTGTACTGTAATCGTATAAAATATTTTCTTTATTCCTGTACGTTTTTTTCCTCGAAAATAGTTGAGTACAAGTACGTATGTATATATATGTATATCGTATGTATATAGTTCTATTTTATTTCCCAAAAAAATTTTCAAAAAGTAAAAAACTCTAAACTCAAAATTAGGACTATTATATTCTTGCAACGAAAAAATGCACTGATAACAGCATTATACTCGGTGCTCGACTTGAGGGGGGGACAGAGTACCCCTTCTAATTTTTAGAAATTTTAGCGTCCCCCTATTATTAATACGTTATAATTATAACGCTTAACAAGTTTTGGGAACGCAATTTTTTTTTAAGCAGAATCCCTCTTTTTAATTTTGCCAAATCAAGCACTGTTTATACCAAGCTTTCAATTGACGAGATACTTCAACCATTTCCTTAAACTTCTCTCTTTTGTTCTTAGTTATAAATATTATCTTTGTACCTGTTTTGTTTCAATATCAAATACTTGGCGGCTGATATATACATGTCATTATCTAAAATACACATATTAGGCAGACATTTTAAAATAGGTAGGTTACCTACTTAAGTAGGTACCTACCTAAAATACTACATATTTTTAATAATATAGTAACATTTTTTTTAAAACCTATACCATCAAAAGATTAGTTCATAGTATGTTTGTATGTATTATTTATAAGTTTTAATAAAATAAATTAAGGTTTTTCCATTAGTAAAAACGGGGTTTTATGTGAATCCATTATGCTATCCAAAGCTGAGATGACATTTATTTTTTAAAATTAAGGATAATAGGGACTTAATGAAACGGACATATGTATATGTTATACAATACATTTTATTGCTAATTATTTATTGAAATCATTTTATTATCATAGTAAAACTATATGTAAGAGGCCATCAGTGTAAAGAATTAAATTCTTTACACCGAACAAGCAAGTACAAAAAAAAAAAAAAAAAAAAAAATAAAAAATTATAATAATAATAAATAACTGAGATTAAATTAAAACATTTTAACTTCCTTCACGTAATTCAAAAAATATTTGAAGTGAAGTAAAAAAAATCATACCAAACCGAAAAAAATAAAGACTGATTATTTTAAGTATCAAGCCCCAGGCGCGAACGCAGGTGGAGTTAAGGGGTTCAAACCCCCTTGAAAAAGAAAAAAATAGAAAACATTTTATAAAAAATTATCTGATCTACAAATGTATAGTAATCCGGGTATTACATAGTAGATTTAATTATATCACTATCCTCCTTTTATGTTCATTAGGTTAGGTTAGGTTAGCTTAGGCTCAAAACTTGAGCATGTTGAAACAATTATTTGCAATTTAAAATTTATATTCATTATATTCATATTGTAAGGTAACTTAGCAAATAAAATATAATAACAAATAATATTAATGTTTTCATATATATTATGTAATCTTATCTAGAAAGAATGATATGTATTAATTTTACTATAGGCACTTCGAGAAACTGAAATACTTGAGACTTTCCCTTGTTCTCGAACCACTTTTTGACACTGCGCCATTTTTTCTAAGTATAAAGAGGGTTGCATTTACAAATTAGATATGATTTCACTCTTTAAATGGGCGGTTGATGTGCATGTGCTCAACCGCCGTGATCTATATTAGTAAATAGAATACATTATTAACCTTTTTAATAGTACTTGTTTAATTTTCAAAAACAATTTCTAAATACATACTATATTCAAACAACGTTCACTGAAAATGAACAAACGATAAAGGTTAGTCATTGAATCGTTACGAGTCGAACTTTCGAAACTGATTCGCTACGAATTTATTTCCTAGTTATATCAAAGTTTTCCATGAGAATTGCAAATAAAATATAAAAATAGGTATATGTTATATAATGAGTCTTGCAATTCGAGTAACTATGACTTTGCAATATAGGTAGGGGAGACCGAAGACAAAATGAACACGGATCAATTAAACAAATTGCAACATTATATGTAAATACTATACATTTATAAAAAAATTTCTAGATGTACATACGGGTTTTATTATTTTTTAAACATTATCTGTTATAACAGCGACTTCTGAATAGCCTTTTTTAAAGTTGAAAATTATTGAAAACTATTTAAAAATTTCAATAAGTCAAGAACGTTTTAGCGTTTTTGCCCTGTTAAGTATTGAAACTTAACGTGTATGCTCGATGAATTTTGATATAAATATACTTATTGATATCTATTCCGAACAAAAATCTAGGAAAAATTATTTTTCCTAATAATTCTGTACATAAATATTATAGTTACATATTGTGAAATAAAAAAATATTTTTTAGATTTAATTACATTTTTAAAATTATTATTAATAATATTTTAATGTAATAGATTGATCTATACATAATAATTATCATTAGAATATTTATATATTAGCTATTACATGGAAAAAAGACATTTTGTCGTATTAATATTAAGCCAATTTATATTTATATGTAGTGGGCGTATTGTTATTAAAAATTACTATATTAATAGAGTGGTTTATTTAGCTAATATTAAACACATATATTATAATATTCTCTGATTTATGGCAACTGATACGCATGAGAAAATCATTTAATATCTATTGATTTTCCTAAGATGTGTATTTTCTTGAGGGGCGCAATAATTTAGCCCCAAGGTGGTTTGAACTATAGCTACGCCACTGGATACTATCCATTTCTTCATAGAATGTATTTATTCATTTCCGATTTTTATTTCATAATATTACAACCAGCTGAATTGTTGACAGTGTTGCGTAAAAATAACTTAACATTTATCTAGATAAAGATAAAATATAATTAGATATAATTTATCTGGATAAAAAAAAGATTATTTTATCCATTTTTTTTTTTATATATATAAATTTATACTTCAAAAATAAAACTAAATTAAAATTAACTTTACTTTCATCTAATATTTACCTCCAATATAGATAATGAACAAAAAATATTTATACAACGTACATTTATGTAAGGAAAATAAGTAATAAATAATAAGAACTTAGCTTTTAAAAAAATACATTCTTTGTAGGTATATTATAATTTTATAAAACAATTAATTACAATTTATATAATACTTATTATTCATTATATTATTATTATTACTTATTAATTGTATTTGTTAAATTAATTATTCTGTAATGTTTACAAATTATGTTAGTGAATAAAACAGCATTAATTATTTTTGCGTGCCATAAAATAAAACAAAATGTATTCTCAGAACTGAGTTACAAATTATAATTATATTAATTCAAACTTGACACATAAATTATATATTTATTCAATGACAAACACAAAACAACGAAACTCGTTATTCACATTGTTTTTTTTCTAATAAATTTAACTTTGGTCCAAAAAACAAAAGTACAAAAAAACATTTTTATGATTTGAAAAACAAACGATTTAACTAAATGCTTTTTAGATTTATAATGCCAATTTGTACGAAATGTGTTTTCAGAATGGATTCCAGAAACAATAGAAAATGAATGCGTGGAATGTTTAGATGAACAAAATATGGGATTTGATGAAATAATTAATTATTTATTAGAAAACAAAAAAAAAAAATGTATTGAAGGGACTCGAAGAAAAATGTTATCCGAAAAATCTACGTGTATGATTTTCGAGAAACTGAGTGATGCTTATTTTGAAATTATTTACACTGTTACTTAATATTTTCGTCTTTAAAGTGAAGTACCAAATTTTTAACTTTTATGT